AAGTTTTCTTTGTTGTGTGTTTATCTGGTTTTGGTATTAGGATGATGCTGGCTTCATCAAAAGAGTTTGGGAGTCTTCTATCATTTTGGGTTTTTTGGAATAGTCTGTGAAGGATAGGGGTTAGCTCTTCCTTAAATGCTTTGTAGAATTCTGCTGTGAAACCATCTGGCCCAGGGCTTTTATGCGTTGGGAGTTTTTTGATCATTGCTTCAATTTCATCTGCTGTTACTGATCTATTCAGGCTTTCTGCTTCTTCATTGAGTTTTAGAAGATTATATTTTTCTAGAAATTTGTCCATTTCACCTAGGTTTTCAAATTTCTTGGCATACAGTTCTTCATAGTACTTTCTTACAATCCTTTGTATTTCCTTCTGTGGAGTCTGTTGTAATCTCTCCTCTTTCATTTCTGATTGTGTTTATTTGGGTCCACTCTCTTTTTTTTCTTGATAAGCCTGCTTAAAGGCTTGTTTGTTTTGTTTATCTGTTTAAAAAACCAGCCCTTGGATTCATTGATCCTTAGAATTGTGCTCTTAGTCTCTATGTCATTTAATTCTGTTATGATCTTGGTTATTTCCTTCCTTGTACTTGCTCCAGGCTGTCTTTGTTGTTGTTCCTTGAGTTCTTATAAGTGTAGGGTTAGATTGTTTATTTGAAATGTTTCTATCTTTTTTAGGTAGGTGTGTATTGCTATGAACTTCCCTCTCAGGACTGCCTTTGCTGTGTCCCATAAGTTTTGTGTTGTCGTGAGTTCATTTTCATTTGCTTCCAGGAACTTTTTGATTTCTTCTCTTATTTCATTCTTGGTCCATTCATTGTTTAATAGCATGCTATTCAATCTCCATGATTTTGAGTGTTTTGAGTCTTGTCTCTTGCGATTTGTTTCTAGTTTCAGTCCCTTGTAGTTGGAGAAAATGCTTGGTATGATTTAAATTTTCTTGAATTTGTTGAGGCTTTTTTGTGTCCTATGATGTGGTTTATCTTTGAAAATGTTGCATGTGCATTTGAAAAGAATGTGTATTTAGCTTCTTTGGGATGAAGGGTTGTATATATATCAGTTAAGTCCATTTCACGTAGGGTATTGTTCAATGTCACAATATCTTTGTTGATATTTTGTTTGGAAGATCTGTCCATTTTTGACAGTGGGGTGTTAAAATCTCCAGCTATAATTGTGTTGCTGTCAATATCTTTCTTGAAGTCCTGTAAGATTTTCTTTATATATTTGGGTGCTCCTATGTTGGGTGCATATATATTTACAATGTTTATGTCTTCTTGGTGGATTCTTCCCTTGAGTATTATGAAGTGACCTTGGAGGTCTCTTTTTATGGCTCCTTTTTTGAAGTCTATTGTTTCTGATATGAGTATTGCTACCCCAGATTTTTTTTTCCTGGCTGTTTGCTCGGCAAATTTGTTTCTAGCTCTTCACTTTCAGTGTGTGTAGGTCTTTTGTCCTGTGGAGGGTCTCTTGTAGGTAACATATGTGTGGTCATGCTTTCTTATCCATTCAGCTATTCTATGTCATTTGATTGGAGCATTTAATCCATTTATGTTTAAGGTTATTATTGATAGGTACTTATTCATTGTCATTTTTGTACTAGTGTTTCTCTTTATCTCTCTCTTTTTCTTCCTTTCCTTAAAGCAGACCTTTTAGTATTTCTTGCAGAGCTGGTTTGGTGGAGGTGTATTGTTTCAGACTTCTTTTGTCTTGGAAGCTTTTTGTTTGTCCTTCTATCTAGATTGAGAGCCTTGCTGGGTAAAGTAGCCTTGGTTGCAGGCCTCTGGTTCTCATTACTTGGGATATTTCTTGCCATTCTCTTCTTGCTTGGAACATTTCCATTGAGAAGTCAGTAGCTAGCCTTATTGGGGCTCCGTTGTATGTTACTTTTTTTTCTCCCTTGCTGCCCCTAAGATTCTCTCTTTGTCTTGGAATTTTGCCATTTTAATTTGATGTGTCTTGAAGTGGGCCTCCTTGGCTTTCTCTTGATTGGGCCTCTCTGTGTTTCCTGGATTTGTGTGACTTTTTCTCTCATCAAATTAGGGAGGTTTTCATCATTACTTTTTCAAATAGGTTTTCTATCCCTTGCTCTTCTTCTTCTCCTTCTGGTATCCTTATTACTTGGATATTAGTATGTTTCATATTGTCTTGCATTTCTCTTAATCCCTCTTCATTCTTTCTGAGCTTCTTTTCCTTGCTTTTTTTTGGTGTTTTTTTCTACTTTGTTCCCTAGCTCACTGATCCAATCTTCCGCTTCAGTGATCCTGCTTTTGATTCCTTCCACTGTGTTCTTCAGTTCAGAAATTGTATTCTTCATTTCCTCTTGGCCCTTGCTTATAGTTTCTATTTCCTTTTTCATGTTGATATAGTTTTCAGTGAGTTAATTGTAATTCCCCTGTAGTTTCTGGTAGCTCATTGTGAGCTCTTTGAACTTCCTGATAACCAGTGCTTTGAATTCAATATCTGATAGTTGACTTGCCTCTATTTCATCTAGCATTGTTTCTGATGCTTTCTCCTTTTCTTTCATTTGGGGATTGTGTGTCTGTCTTCCCATTGTCTGTGAGACTCTTTTTGTTAGCCTCAGCTTCTTAAATTGATCTGTTCTGGCTTCCTGGGTTTATGGTGTGAACTTCTGTAGTAAAATACCTGTGAGATTCAGTGTGTAGTCTCCTTGGTCTTCCCAGCTCACTGATCTTGGGCAGTACTTTACGTTGGCTCTGAGTTTGTCTTTGGGTTTTGGTTGTTTTTGTGTCTTTGTTTTGTAGGTCCTTCCCACCAGCTGGTGAACTGATGATCCCTCTGCCCACCACCCATTTTAATTTGTTGTGCTGGTGTGGGCAGGTTGTTTTGAAGCTAGTTCTTCTGTGTTTACAGAGTTTTGAGGATTCTTTTTTGCTCTTATTCAGTTGTTTGTATGAGGTAGTTTCTCCACTGTTTAGTTGTATTTTTAGATAGGTCTTGGATTGAGGCTTGTGTGATTTCCACTCTCTCTTTCACCTTCTTCTGTTGTTATCTGTTGGTGGTTCCTTTGTTGTTGGGTTTCCTCTTCCAGTGGGTATCCTGCTGTTCACCACTTCACCTCCTGCCAGTTTCCTGGTGGCCAAACTGGTTTTTCTGGTCTCACTGGCTGTAGTAGTGTGAGGGGCAATTGGTGCAGTTTTTCTCCCTTCTCGGTGTATTCAGCTGGTCTCAGGAGCACTCTCCCAAGATCCAGACTGGCACCTCTCCCCAGCACCCCACTGAGGGAATCCAGGTCCTCTTTAGAGCACTCTTTCCCCGGGAGTCTGTGCCGTGGGTTGGGGTGCGGGCGCATGCTCCTGCCTTGCTTCCCTGGTCCTGCAGGCTTGGGTGTTAACCTTTCCCAGTGCTATGGGGAACTCAAGGGCGACTCTCAATTTTCCCAAGCCGGTGACGACAGACTCTACGAGTGATCAAGGCTCCCTTGTTTGCTTCCTCGTACCCGTTCCTCTCTCTGACACTTGAAGCAAATAGGTTTGTCCCCATGTTTTTCAAACTGCGCCTGGCTGGGTAGGGAGAGAGCTGATGACCCGACTCTCTCCCAAGGACCTTGCTACTAATCCTCAGCTCCCAAAGAGTCTACGGCAGACGCGACCCTCACTCTTGGTACCCGGCCCGGTGGAGGCGGCAGCCTCGGCCTATGGCCTTTGTGCTGGTCCCTTGGACCTTATTGACCTGCAGCCGTCTCCTCACTGTCTGGTGTTTCAATGTCTTCTACAATTTCTGGACTCCTGTTTTCCTATATGCTGGGGCACTGTTGGCTATTTGCTGTGTTCCTCCACAGATCGGTCAGGCTTTTCTCCCATGCATGGGGTGAAGCAGAATCCTCTGTGACTTACTCCGCCGCCATCATCTCCTATTTCCCCACAGGTGTTTTTAATTGGTGTTTTGAGGCTTTATTTCCCTGAGCTGGGGCACTGGGTTGTGCAGTCATCCCGCTCCCCAGTTTCACCTGGTTTATCTGCGTGCCAGTGTGGGACTGCCCAGTCCTCCAGCCACCACCTTACCGTGAGTCCTCTCTGCCCACTGCCTGATCGGCCCCTCCTATCAGTCTGGATGAATGTGTCTTCTTTAAGTCTTTGGTTGTTGGAATTCCAATACAGTTCAATTCTCTGTCAGTTCTGGTTGTTTTTTGTTTTTTGTTTTTAAATTGTTACTGTCCCTCTTTTGGTTGTGCCAGGAGGCATAGTGTGTCTACCTACACCTCCATCTTGGCTGGAAGATGGCAAATTATTTTTTAAAAGTACTTGCTCCAGTGTGCAATCCCACTAGTAGTGGTTTGGACCTTTTTTTGAGCCACACTGTGTGGATGATCTGGTGGTGTCAAGACTTCTGAGATCTTGGTAATCTGCCATCAGTAAATAGTACTGACTTGTAGTCTTGATTTGTACTTCATTTTACTGATGAGTTTGAACATCGATTTATATTGGTTGTATTTTGTAAACTCTCTGGTCTTGGCTTGTGTTAGTTTTTCTTTTTTGCCATTTTTTATGTGTTTTCTAACTGATTTAAAGGTAGCGTTTGTTTTTCTTTATTTTGTTTTCTTTAATTTGGAATACAAATCATATACTATTGTCTAAATATTTTCAGTGTGTTGATGTATTTCTCTTCACTTTACATAAGTTTTGGCCACCATAAGTTCTTAATTTTTATGTAGTGAAATTTATAAATTATTCCATATGTAAGTTTATTTCTAAACTTTATACTAATTAGGTATTTTTATTTAAGTAAAACCTTTCCAGTTGAGGATGCATTATTTTGTCATGTCTATGAAGTTTGCTTTCTTCTTGATTATATTCTCTTGTCTTTAAATTTTCTTTTGTTATTGAACTTAACAGACCTATAGGAGAAGACTGCATATAAGCAGTGGGCATCTTGTGAGAGATCCCAGTTTTTTTTTTGTTTTGTTTTGTTTGTGTGTTTCTTGTGTCTATTGAAGCCAGGAAAGTTGGCACTGTACTAACCCAAATGGGTGTTTTCCCTCTTGGCAGATGATTGTGATGAGCCTCTGGTGTCTGCTCTGTCTCAGGCGTCGTTCAGCAGTTCCTCCGAGCTCTCTAGTAGCCACGGTCCTGGATTTGCAAGGCTAAATCGAAGAGACGGTAAGTCTACTTTTTTACCTCCGATTGGTTCATGACGAATTTCATTAATTTTCCATTCTCTCTTAGTAAAATCATTATAAGTGATATACTGTTAATGAGAGTAAGTAAGTTTCTAAATAAGCAAATGGCGGAAGCTCATGGGATGTACATGATGTGTAAGATTGGTTCTGGAATGGCAGTAGGTCACATCCCATTTGAAAATCCTGCATGATCATTTCGGCACCTAAAGAACTGAATTCCTCCAATCTGGCAAGTTTTTTTATGTAGCCTATAAAATAAACTTTTTTTTACAACAGTACAGATGGTCCCTGATTTATAATGGTTTGACTTAGGGTTTTTTGACTTTACGATGTGTGAAAGCAGGACGCATTGATCATTTCCTAGGTTCTGATACATGGTTCCACACGCTCCCTGGGTGTGGGCAGCAGCAGTGAGGTGTAGCTCCTAGTCAGGCACACGACCACAAGTTTAACAACCAATGCTGCACAGTGTACTGTGATTCCAGCGTCTTTGGATATTGTGTTTTGAGCATGTTTAAGGCAGGCTAGGCTAAGTTAGGGTATTCAGCAGGTTAAGTGTATTAAATGCTCTTTTGACTTATTTTCAACTTACTATGGATTTAGTGGGAGGTAACCCTATTGTAGGTCAGGGAACATCTGTATACGATCATTACGTGTATAGTAGCCATGAAAATTTCATTGGCTCTCTGTTTCAAGATAAGCAAGGAAGTTTGCTAGAAGAAGTAATTTTAAAAGTTCCTAGTTATTTAAAAATAGTAAGCTCTCAGTGTATTGTGTTCTCAGTGTGGATGACGTGGCTTGCTCTCCTGCTGCAGAAAGGGAACTTAGTTGGTGTTCTCGCTCCTTTAGGGACACTCAGTTCACATTGTTTATTCCTAGGTTGTGTGTCATTGCTTGAATATGTAAAGGAAAGTTCAGATAATTAAACGGCAACTTGCTGTAGAAATAACAGAGAATTTCAGAACTGTGCACCGAGGGACAGAACATTATTGTGGTCCCTTTTCATAATATGCTAAGGCGCAAGCCACCTGTGCAGGGACTCCATGGCAGTGCTTACCCAGAAAACATTTTTAACAGCCATGAAGCAATAGGCACTGGCATTGTGTGTTATTAAAGCTGTGATTTTCTCATTTATTATGCCCTTCTAGCATTCCATGTGTCAGCCACCTCTTCTGATTTTACTCCTTGATGTGATCCTTGGTTCTGTTGTTTCTTGTGTGCTGACATTGAACATTAGACACAGTGAATAGACCACATGTGTGCGTATGTGTGTGTGCGTGTGTGGATGTCTGTGCTTTGACATCTGGTACACATTATAAATAACAACTTAGCATGATTTTAAATTTAAGGTTATTTTAAAATTTTATCTCATGTTATTGGAGACAATTACTTATGTGTGTTTCTTTTTTGTTGCATAGAATCGACATAATGTCTTTCTGAGTGTGAGAGTGTCAGTGGAGAGTCATCACTGAGATCCTTGGACCAGAGGGGGAGTTGGGGGTCCTTGAATATATCTGTGTCTGTAATGCTTGTCTGTTACTTGTACTTGCCCTGTAGTGAGAGTTATTGGTCCCATTGCACCGTCTCTCCCTATTTTCCATTCTGAACCCCTTACTGACCACAGGCAAGTGGGCTTTCCCGAGCCCTCTGCGGGCCAGTCCTGACCCTGCAGCCATGGTCCCCTGAGTTGGAGTGCGGCCCTCACAGCCCTGCTGGAGAAGGAGGTCCATCTTGTACTCGCTTTTAAAGTGAAGCAGAGTTTAACATTTGCCATTGCTCCATTTGCGTGATAAAAGCTTTCATAGCATTTGGCCTGTGGAAGGAGATACAGAATTTAATTTAACTCTTTACCTTTATTTCAGTCGTTGAGGTTCAATAAATCACAAAAAAGTATATATAAGTTATGAATTGTATAAAATTATATTTTTCATTAATTCATATACTCATCAGAAACCTCCATCAGTGGGACTCATTCTCATTCTTAATCTGTTTCTATGGCTCTTGGTGAAACACAATTCAAACTTCATGAATCTCATTTGCATGTTAATGAAACAGAAACAAAACAGGATCATTTTAATTATCTTTTGCTGGTTGTCAACCTACTTGATTACATTTTTCTTTTTCATTTAGTTTTTCTTTTTTTCCCTCTTAATTACATGAAGCATTCACAAAGGAATGTCAGATTTTGAGTGATTTATTGGAGGCTATATATTATTTCTAGTATGGCAACATTCCTTGTAGTATTTAGATTAGCAGGTGATGTATAAATAAACTGAATCAACAAATAAAGGTTTCAGTGTCCTGGAAAGACAGGTAGGGTGACCACTTTCCTGTGGAATCTGGAAAACTTAGAGCCAAAGATTAACAGGCAGGAAACGAGAAATCCAGTTCCACAGCGGCTGCTTTCCCAGCTGTGGGACAAGACCTGCGGGAATGCTGAGGCCCTCTAATGGGGGCAGGGGCCCAGGAAGAGGCTAACGTGTCCATGCCTGCTAGGGAAGAAGAAAAATTCATCTTTTTTGAAGTATATTATTTAAAAATCTCCACTAGAGTGCCATTGCGGGTAGAATTGCATTCTCCAAAGGATGCATTCACATCCCAACCCTGATTGCAACAAATGCGATCTTACTTGGACACCGGGTCTTCGCAGATGTGAGCCGAGTTTGTATGGGAGTGGAGTGGCTCCAGATAAGGCCTCATCAGGAGAATGGGGTTAGAGACATCCAGAGACAGAAAAGACAGACAGAAGGCTGGGTGGAGACAGAAGCAGAAACTGGAATAATGTGGCTCCAAACCAAGAGAGGTCCTGTGTGGCCCGTAGCTACCCGAAGCAAGGAAGAGGCAAGGAAGGGCTCCTCTCCAAAGCCGACTGAGAGAGATGAAGCTGCTGACACCTTGATTTTGGACTCCTAGCCTCCAAAACTATAAGAGAAGTAATTCTGTTCTTTCAAGCTGCCCGGTTAGTGATACTTGGTTAGAGCAGCCCTGGGGAACTAGGACAAACGCCATTGAGTGAACAAATCCTTCTCATACTTCTTTGCACTGGGAAGATACGGCTCAGTTTGAATGGCAGATTTCATAGCTCAGAGAACTATAATACAAACTTATTTGTAAACAACACAAAAAACAATCACTGCTAATCCTGGCTCTATAATGAAATTAAATCTCCCTCTGCCTTTCTATAATATTTCCATTGTTGCAGTTTCAGTATTGTTTGAATTATAATGGGCAACTCAGATTTTTGCTATTGCTGATGTAGAGTTTGGACAGGTTCTAGTGCACCATTTGATGGTCCAAGTGTGTTCTTAGGGCAGACTTTAAAGAAGCCATGTATGCAGAACTGTTCCTGAGGTTGCATTGGAATCTCATTGAAAGTTTTTGTTTCTGTGTCCTTTGAAACTTGGGAAAATGGTTTATAGCAAACTGTTGTACTTGTGCATGCAAGTAAAATGGTAAGTAGTAAATGAGATTATTGTACACAGCAAAAATATTTATATGTGTGAGTGTCAACATGCACAAGTATATGGACATGTATGTAAGTACATGACAGATTGCTTCTATAATGAAAATACAGGCACACTTCACTGTATTGCACTTTGGTGGGTGTTACATTTTTTCACAACCTGAAGGCAAGAGCCTCCATCAGCCGAAGGATGATGACTTGCTTTATTGAGATACTCTCTCCGTTGTGGTGGTCTGGAACTGACCCCGTAACATTTCTGAGCCGTACCTGTTTCTCTCATCTATTGTGAAAGATCGAGATATTTCCTGTGTAGCTAAAAAGTTGAATATTTGTCTGTGTTTTCCCATTATCTGTTTTTTTAAAATCACAGCTAGGCCCTTCTACTCTAAATGCTGAAAAATAATGTTTTCCCAGGCATATAGGATATGCTGTTAAAGCCAAGCATCTGTCTGTCGTGAGACCAGTGCCAGAGAGAACTCTCATTCTTGGATAGACTTCTGCTGAGAATCACTGTGATCTTCTGTGAAGAATTATTTGGTGATTCTTAGTGCCCTAAATTATTGTGCCTGTTCTCATTCAACTATTATGCTTAAATTAAAATCCCAAAGATAAATTCTCAAGGTACGAGTGTTGTATCTCATTGCTTAAGAGGACAGATGAGGTAAATGTTTCCTGCTGTTAAACCTATTGTATGGCTGGCATCTTTTATAATTATTACATTTAAAAGATGCTAACATTCACATATTTGTTAACCAGTACTTTCTTTATGGGGAGAAGAATAAGAGATGAATTTTGCACAGGACTGAAAAGAACTTGGCCTAAGTAAAGTGGAGTCTCATTGGCATAGTGGCTGGAATGTGCCTGGTAAGTCACCAGGGCCAGAGAGGGGGTGGGCCAGCCTTGCTTTAGAGCAGGGTACAGTGTTTATGGTGTCGGGGAAGGCCTATACTTGCAGCCTTTGTTAGAGAAACTAGCAGTTTATTTGCTTCTACATCAGTTGCGTTCCCACCCCACCCAGAGTAAGCCTGTGGCACCTCAGTAATTACTTGAATTGCAAGGGCCCCACCCCTCCATGCTGACTCAGGCTATGGCACATGGCTTCTTAGTAGCTCAGCCCGATTTTTCTTCCATGTGGCCTAACTGATCTCTGGGATTAGGAGGTGTACGGTTCTTAAAATTGAGACAAGAGTTCTTAAAGATGACTAAATCGCTCACTGTCACAGAATGCACACTTCCCCAGCACACTTGAACCTCAGCCACCCTGCTCTGAGTCTGTCTTTTATAACCTCTCCTGAGGATTATAAAATTTGAGGTGAAGAGCAAACACTTTGGTATTAGGCATAACTGGAATCAATTCAGCATTCCTGGGTTTACTCCCTGCTACTTACTCATTTCAGGACAGGAAAAACATTTAACCTCTCTGCTCTAATTCCCTCATTTTTCTATTGGCAGCATCAGGAAAGTGCTGAAATGCTATTGGCCTTGTTGAAAATGATCATAGTGCTGTGGTGTGGTCA